ATGAATTTACCCCAGATTGTTACTGTCTGTGTGAGAAGGATAATCCCTCTTCAGCTCTTCCATGCAGTGTGTGTGGTGGGAGTTAGCAAGCTGTCCTGGCTAAACTGCAACTTGCTTCCACTGTTGTTTGCTCATGCAAGTTCATCTCCCCTTCTTCTTGTACTAGCTACATTATTCTTCATCACTTTCTATACTAAATTCTTAGGTAGTACTGCTCTGTTGGCCAAAGTTAACGTTCCTTTGTGCTATTAGAGGATCAGGAACAGCCATGAATTAGTGTTCCAACATCCACTGCAAGCTCTACACAGAGCCGATTATGCATTTAAACAGTGACAACAGTTTATTTCTCATATATCACTCCAATCAAATCTCAAAATGTTTTCGGAAGCAGCCTTTGCCCATTCTCTCTCAGTGTAACCATCTTACAAAGCACTTCCAGCAAGCAAAAGGCACTCAACTAGCCCCTCTGCTGGGGAGCAACCCATTCTTCAAACACAATGACTATTCTACTCCTTGCACTGCACACCTTACAGAATATTTGTGTTCACTACGTAGAAGTAGACTCTAAGCCTGCCAGAAATCAAATGCTTTGAATATTCATGGCAAGTGTCACCTTTTTAACACACTTCTCCCCTGCCCCAGGCACGCTGTTGCAGATCAATTCCCAAACCTAGGTGAGCAATGCAATTTGTTATAATGACAATTCAACTGTAATCACGGCAGCGTAATGCACCGTGACTGTACTAGCAGCCTGACATTTGGCAAGTTTACTAAAACCTTAATAACAATGCATTATTACATTTGATATGCTTCCCTTAATTCATTACCGAAGCAGGCTTCGGGAATAGAAATTGAACTTTTGAAATTGATTAGACTGTTTTGAATTGAGCAGCACGGGGATTGTGTGGTGAGCTGCTATTTAGCAGTCATAACGCCCTCATTTTTTATAGGACACAACATTCTCATGTAGTTGGGCTTAGGTTAGGAGTATCGCCTCATATGGCAGAAAGTAAAGCTATTGCTCTTAACCAAACAAGAAGGAAAAGCCAGTATTAAAAACAAGCAAACAACAAGCAACCTGGTAGTTCTGTAAGCATATTTTCTAATCTCTGGGCTCACCTGCACTTTGATGCTAAAAGATAAAGCTAGAGCTCAGGATCAGAAATTCTTCACGTTCACTGTTTTTTATATGCTATTAGCTAAGATAATTCACTTTGTAAGACACCTCCTCCAAGCACACAAGATAGGCAATGGTTGTCAGTCTCACAAGGCTGAAAAGAAAAACATTTCAATAAAACTATCAACAGGAGTGCTTAAATATTCATAGAATGGCCTGGATTGAAAAAGACCTCAAAGAGTCCCAACCCCCTGCTATGTGCAGGGTCACCAACCAGCAGACCAGGCTGCCCAGAGCCACATCCAGCCTGGCCTTGAATGCCTGCAGGGATGGGGCATCCACAGCCTCCTTGGGCAACCTGTTCCAGTGTGTCAATAATTATTATTACCTGTAATAAAGCTGACAACTTCAGCATTTAAATATTTGGGTCTAACTTTGCATTTTTCATCTTTGCTCTCATTGTATTCATCTGGAACATTTAAGGACAAAAAATGAAAAAAGAAAAAAAAAAAAAAAAGAAACTTGGATCACTAAGGAAACTTAAAATGTGAATCTCATTGCTACACCCTCTTTTATACCTTCCCTGTTTCTTGCTCATTCCCTTCATCCCTCCCAAAACACCAGCCCTTACACAAACACTGTAATCCAGACCTGACAGACTACCATGACATGTTAAGCCTGGTAAAGTACTACAAGCAGAAGGATTAAGCAGTAAAAACTTAAATCAAATATGAATTAATCTTTGCAAACAGAATGCATCTCCAAATTTTCCATTCAGAGCTGCAGATGTGCAGCTTTTAATTGTTAGAGATACTCAGCGTTGACTGACACAGACTTTAAGACCACCTCCAGCAAGACGTGAGAAAGGGTCACATTCTACCAACAAGTGACCAACCCCACTACAGCAAGAGATACTTAAATCTGAACATCTCATGCAATGCTTTGGCACTGCTGGAAGAACAGGCTGAGCAGCAGCCATCCTTGTGAGTTACCTACCTCAGATAGCAACTACAGGAGAAAGTATTGGTGTTTGGTGGCTGAACAGCTGGTAGGAATATTACACTTTGTTATTTCGTTGAAATGTCACCTTGTCTTGAGTAGGCAGTTTCAAGATATTCCTGGAGTTTTTTCAAAACCTAATGTAAAACTATCATAAGAAAGCTTTTTTTGTTGTTGTCATTTGTTCTTTAGTGAAAAAGATTGGGGCCTATCATTTTGTAGAGGTAGGCCTGAGACTTGGGTCAACCAAACAACCCTATATGGGTTATGCAATTTGGAAGTCATTAGGAACGTCACCACATACACACAGTCTGGTCTGACCAGTTTCCCCATTGCAGGGATACCAGTAAGCCACCATAACAATGTTCTCCTGCTCTTCCCGGAGCAATAAGGAATTACAACTAACCTTGACATCAGAGAGGGAAAAGGTTCTTTGCATTCTAAGTTCTGCCTTTCAATACATCTTTTCAGTCTTCTGGGAAGCAAGGTATTAGATTGGATACCCTGACAGATCTTTAACTGCAGCAATAACAAATAACATCAGTGTAATTTATCTTGAAAGAAATTGCTCCATTTTCTTTTCCAGTTTCCAGCTTAAAACCTTCCTTTGCTGATGTTGCCGTCAATCTTATCTAGTGATCTATTTACCTAAAGCACAGAATTACAGTATAGGTTTTTATGACAAGCACAGAGCAGGCTTTGGCAGTAATAATTTTGTGAGCCTGGATTGTTTTTAGGGCTCTGTCAGAAAGGCCACCTCTCTTCCACGTGAAAAGTCAACAAGCCACTTCAAAAGCTTAACAAATGAATCTGTCATAGCAATTAAGGCAAGAAGCTATATAAACATTGATAAAAGGCGACCAATCACCGTGCACTGTCACACGAGGGAATAAGAAAAAGACCTTTCACACATTGCTCTGAATGCTTAGAAAGATCAAAAATATTGTCTGGAAAGTGACGTTCTTTGACTTGCCATGAATCAGTGCCATCTGCAATGCATGCCTGACCTTTGAGAAAGAGAGAGAAAAAAATCTCAGACTGAATGAAGTAACTTCCAATTATTTGTACTGGACGTTCAAAAGGTTCATAGAATCATAGAATGGCTCGTGTTGGAAGGGACCTCAAGGATCATCAACTTTCAACCCCCTGCCACAGGCAGGGCCACCAGCCTCCGTATCTAATGCTCTCCAATACTCTTACTAGTATGGAAATGGGCTCATTTCATCCCAGAGGGTTGCAGTGGAAGGGAATTCACTGCACACAGACAGCTTTTATTGCAAGACAGATGCCACTTCCACTGTGTGATCACAGAACAGCAGCTTCCAGTGCAACAGCCAGAACATTGAAATATCCATTCTAAGGCTTCAGCCACCAAATTTACTTAATAAAGACACAAAAAGCATCAATGGACACATACAGCTTCTCTAAACACGTTTGTTGGCATCGAGTAGCTATAAAAAGGATCCTAAACACGCAATTACCACATATAATATCCTCTGCCCACATCATTGTGTGTAACCATCCCAGCACACTGATTACAAAAATGTTTTTAGCTGTTAAGGACTTTTTTTTTTAAAAATCATATCAGTTTACAAAGTGACATTTGCCAGCAGATATTAGCGTACTCAAGTCCCCTGAATTCCCAGGGCCTTTATTATCTCCTTCCTGTTTACAAATTTTACTGTCATCCACCACTGCAAATTATCAGCTCTGCCTCTTGCTGAAGAAAATGCAAACTCAGAAGGCAGAGATGAGCACACATGCATTAATCAAATACAACATATTTCTTAGCACTCTCAGACAACTGGAATTAGATGCATCTGGTATCTACAACCTTCTCAAGGTATTCAGGAGACTGCTAAGGGAGGGAAGGATTGGGGGTAAATAACTCATACAAAACAAAAAAGCAGGTCATAAAGTACTTTTAAATTGGGCTGTAGGAACACAGTTTTGGTTTTGTACGTTCAAAAAAAGAAAATAAAAGCTTAAATTGGTTTCTGCAGAGCACACTGGTAACTTAAATAATGAGACTGGGCCGGAGAACAGCCTGAAGTTCTGGGCCTTCCCTGACTTTTGGGCATGGAGCAAAGCTGGTCAGATTCAGTGCCAGGTAAGTGCTTTGTTTTCCAAATGCAGTAACCATTACGTCTTAGGAGGGGAAAAGAAAAAAGCAGCAACAGTTACCTGAGATTTTCAAACCTGTCTGGTGCTTTCAGCATGCCTTTAACACGCTAATGTAGTCAAAACACGAAGTAGCAGAGTTCAGAATTGGCTAAAGAGCACCCCTAGAGGATCATAGAATGGCTTGGGTTGGAAGGGACCTCAAGGATCACCAAGCTCCAACCCCCCAGCTGCAGGCAGGGCAGACAACCTCCATATCTAATACCAGACCAGGCTGCCCAGGGCCCCATCCAACCTGGCCTTGAGCACCTCTAGGGATGAGGCAGCCACAACTTCAAACCTTTTACCCACCCTTTAAATACCAGCACTGTCCACTCCTGTTTTTTAACCCTTCATCCTCACACCCTCAGAACGGTTCCTCTCCTCCCATTGTCCACACTACACCTTGTACCTTTTCCTGAGCATTCTCCCTTAATTAATTACATTCATTATTCCACGGTTTCTTTTTCATCCATTAACTTTCCATTGCCCCAGCTCCATTCTAACTGCTGCCAGTTACAAACGCCAGCTCTCAAACCACAACACGGGTCGTTGCCCCACGCGTACAAACGCCCTGCACCAGCAACAGGGCAGACTGCAGCTCTCTACAGCAAGGCAGGGAACACTGATCGAAACAGAAGCAATCATTCTCCTCCCTGCGAGCGGGGACTTAAAAGAGAAGCCTTTGTTTCCTATGCAAAGACAAGCAGAAAGCCGGCTCTACCTGTGCGAGCTGTCCCAAGGAGCGCAGGGTGAGCTGCTTTGGGTCGGTGCACAGCAGCTCGCCCAGCTCCTGGTAGGGCTTCCCTCGGGGGGTGAAAAGCCCCTGTGTGCGCTGCCGTTCCCTCCTGTGCCACTTCTCCCAGCACACTTGCTCTGACGGCGGCCCGCTGCTCCTGTACAGCGCCCAGCTCCTGGCCAGCACCTTCCCTTCTCTCTCAGCTAAAGCAGGCAGAGGCTGAATGCGCACGAAGTCTTTGGGGTTCAACGCTTTGCTGGTTGTTGGTACCTTGGTTCCTCCGTCCTTGGGTGGCTCTGGCAGTGCAGCAGCCCTGAGCTGAGTGTTAGCTGCCACAGGTGCCTCAGCTCTGCTGATTTTGGGCACAGCTGGTGCCGGCATTGCTCCAGCACAGGAGCAGTTTGTGCTCCTTACACTATTACAAACTTTACTTTCCCAGCCATGACAACAAACCTCTGCTGTAACCTCGAAGCAAACCTCCTCGCAAACCTCCTTTACAACCTCCAACACCCAGCAGCAGCTGCTGACAAACCCCAGCTCTACTTCCACAGCAACAAACCCTTCTCTGCCCAGGAACCCAACACCCACCCTGTCTCCCAGGGAACGGCAGTACACAGAGCCGAGCACCACCCTCTGCAAGCACAAACCCCTTCAGCCCCATGGCTGCAGCATCACGGCCCACCCTGCCCCCCCCACACACCCTCCAGCCCTTCCTGAGGGCCATCCCCTCCCCTCACTGGGGGAGCTGCCCATGGGGTGTTGGGTTTCCCATCCCTGGAGGTGTTTTGGAGCCGTGGGGATGTGACACTGAGGGATGTGGGCATGTGGGGTGGGCTGAGGTTGGGTTTGGAACCCAAGCATCACAACCCCCCAACCCCACGTGCCACTTTTATGCTCGTTTTAGTCTCAAAAGCACTGAGCAGCAGTGGGAGTGAGTGGTCTCCAGGGGTGTGTTGGTGATGCACAACCACGTGAAGTGCATTAGATCCATTAAGCGCCATTAGCAGTGTCTGGAGCTAATCACTGCGACTTAATGAAACTCATTTGTTCCTTCTGTACTGGAGCAGCATCCCTTCCTGGTGGCTACCAGCAGTACCCTGGCTGTGCCCGGTATGCCCTTTGCTTCCGGGACCTTTGGCATTAAGCCTAGTGAGAAGCATGGGGAGATCCTCCCAAAATTCCCTTTGCAGAGCAGGACCCCCAAGGTGCCCCCTTTGGAGTGGGGTGTTTGAGGCAGGAAGAGAAACACCTCCGAGCCAACACAGAAGTTGATCCTATCGCTAACAAGGCACAGGAATCATTTAGCTGTGGCTGCACGTGTTGAAGTGATGGGATGGGAAGTATTAAGATCCTGGACCCACAGTGCATGGTGCAAATGGAACAGAAACAAAGTGGGTGACATCCAGCTTCTTGCCTGCTGCTCACCCCCAGTACAAGCACTGCGCTGACCCCACACTGAATGGGAAAGACCCAAAGCCCAGCATGGAGCTTTGCATGTCCTTTTGCTCAGTGCCTCACTTTACCTTCACCACGGAGATGCTTTAGCTTGATTCATTCCATTGTTTTAGTTGTAGTTTATTGTTTTCACAAGCTCTTCTGCAGGCTGAGATTTGCTCTGCAGGGATGCAGCAGAGAGAAATCTCCAAAACAAGGAAATAGAAACAGAGGTTGGAGGGGAGGTGTCATAGGGCAACCACAGAGGGGCTACAGGGGGTCATAGGGCAGAGCTGCCCAATGCCAGCCTGGGAATGGGGCAGGAGGGAGGTGAGCAATTGTGGGGCACAGACACCCTTGGCTATGGGAAGAAGAAGGGCCTCTGAGGGTGCCTGATGCATTCCGACCACCCTGGAGCTGCTTCTGTGTTGTTTACCCTGCCCCGCACGCTGCCAGCAAAATGAATCCATTCAGCTCCTCATTTCCATTTTTGGAATATAAACCCTCAGGGACACGCTGAGAGCTTCTTCCTCCAAGTGGGGCCACATCCCTGGGACTCAGGAGGCTTCTGGTGCTTCCTGCTCCCCATGCAGAAGCTCTGTGCTGCAGCAGGTATGAAGCCATAAAACCTAATACGTTACGGCACCATAAAACGCAGGGTAATTGCTGTGAGACCATAAAAATGGAATGTAATTGGCGGAGCGGCCATTGCAGTGTTACACAGCTCTGATGGTTTGGCAGTGTTATCTCACCCAGGGCTGCGGCTGACAAACAGCCCTGAGCATCAGCCTCAGTGCTGAAATGCCACCGCGTTTCCAAAGCTGCTGTATCACCCGCTGAACCACACGTAGCAGCAATATTTATTGCTAAAACGTCCCTCTCTTCGACGCTCAGGTAGTGCTTAAAAAAGCACTGAGCTTTGCTTCTTTCATTGCTTAGCAAAGGGGCCCGACGCACCGCCTGCATACCAGGTCTTCATTGCTGATTGCTGATGGCATTAGGAAGTGATTGCAGGTGCACTTCTCACCATTCTTTGTAAGATATTATTAAGGAATTCATCAGGAAACAGAACCAAATAAAAGCAGAGGGAATAAAGAAATAAAACCTCTTTTCCCCAGCTGCAGATGAGCAGGAGAGAAAGCTGAGGGCATAGCCCACATAGGCAGTCACCAGCCACCAACGTTTGGGAATATTTGTTGAGTTTTTTTATCTGTGTCCCCTCTTTCAGCTATGCACAAAACCCACACAGCAGCTCCAAAGAGCAGAACCAGGGCCTCCTGTGCCCCCAGGGCTGGAGCCCCACCCAGGCACTGGGGTGCAGCACATCCCCCCCCTGCAGTGTGAGCAAGGCTGCTGTGCTGGGGGGAATGCAACGCCGGGGCCAGGATTTATAGCACATGCTGTGGCTGTTGTTGGTAACTGAGCCCTGAGCAAGCCCAAGCGCAACATGTGAGCTGTATTTTTAACTCCAAGGTCCCACTGACATGGAAAACTGGGTGTCTGCTCCCTTTGGCATCACCACTTTGCTGTGCCCGGGCATTGGGTTGCAGGACTGGGCTGCAGGCAGGAGCTGGTGGGGGGAGATGTGAGTGGGGATGGTGCGAGGACAAACACAGCTTCCCTGGCTCAGAGGGCTGCTTTGTGTCCCCAGCCAGGAAAAGGGCACAGAGCCCATCCGGAGGGCAAAGAGTGCCCAGAGCATCCCCAGCCCCCCTACCCTCACCTCCCAGCCAAGACCAGCAGAGGCTAAGAACATCAACTCATCTTTATTCATCAAGTCTGATAAGTAAAATCACAAGTTCTTTTTGGAAAAAGAAAAACAAAACAAAACAAAACAGAAACAAAAACAAAACATGCAGACAGTTTACACTTCTCAGCAGGTCTGGTGGGGGTTTGTCTGTCTGGGACAGGGCTGTGCCATTGGCCCCACTGCCGGCTGCGTGTCTGCGGGCTGCCAAGGGGCCGGCGTGGAGATGGAGTTCAAAACAAAACCAAAAACAGAGAAGAAGAAGACGCAGGACCACGGGATTCCACTTCAACTTAAGAAGAGAAAAGGGCACTTTTTCACTATTGTTACAAACATCCCATCTGCTCACCTTACAGCATAAAAAGAACCGTAACGAAGACACCCGTTCTGCTGGGTCTGATGGATGCAAAGCCTCTACCAGAGTGTCAGACCACTGTGGGGCTGCTGCTCCCAGGGGGCGGGAGAGGCCGTGCCCCGGGGCCACCCCGCTGGGGCCCGGGGAGCAGGGCTGGGGGGGAATGGGATCAGGGGAGCGGAGCAGGGGCACAGGGGCCCTCAGGCACAGGTGGCCTCTGGGTTCTCCAATGGGATGTCGCCGCTGCAGCTGCCCTCGCCGTACTGCTGGTAGGGGGGGATCTGGGGAGCCTCGATGATCAGCAGCCCCTCCGGCGACAAGGAGGCGAAGACAGTGATGGGGTCCACCTCATAGGGCAGCCTGGAGGGGGGACAGAGAGACGTGTGGGGGTTAGGAGATGGTGCAGCCATGCAGCTCGCAGCCTTCCCACTGAGATTGCCCTGCAAGACCCCCAGCCGGGCTCACTGCCCCCCCTCATGTTACTACAGCAGCGCCTGGGAATGCATAGGGATATTAAAGTAGCCCCTGGGCTGCCTGCCGCTCTGTTTAATCTCCATGGCAGATGTGTTTGATGGGACGTCACTTTCGCCCGCGCTCGCCTGGCTGCTGCGTCGCACCCGTGCCTTGCCCATAAAAGGAGCCTGGCTGCTGGCTCCCACCCGCTGCGCACGCGGCTTTGCTGGGAGGTTTTGGTAAAGCGAAGCTGCAGAGCCACTGCTGCACCGCTGTGTTTTGCCCTCGGTGTTGGGCTCGCCTTCCCTCCCTGCTGTTGTTGTTGCTGGGGTGAGTCAGCGCGATAGCGATCAGACTGACATCACTCGGATGTGGATGTGGGTGCACGTGTAGCCGCACACCGGGGACGGGTGTATTTTGGGGCTGGTGATGGGATCAGCCCTAAAATGGGACCACGGTGCTTTGTACCCCTTTCTACTTTCATATCTGGGCTGGAGGAGCCCACAGGGCTGGTTTTGGGATGGGAACAGCAGGGCTGCAGCCATCACGTGTCATGGGGATGGGGCTGTGCAGGGGGAGGGAGGACGCCCCGGGGCAGGGTGATACCTACTGGATTTTCTTGGTGAAGTTCTTGGAGACGATGCCTCCTTCCACCTGCTGCTCCTCGTGTTTGCCTGGGGGGAGGACAAAGGCGTGTCACCGCCACACTGGGCTCAGGGCTTAACCCAACAAGCAAAACAAACAAACTCCAGGAACTCTTCCAAACGAAATGTTTTCCCTTCCCTCCGTGGGTGTCTCCCACGTGAGGAGGGATACACCATATCCAACAAGGAACAGCACGAAGTGCCTGGCCTGTGAGGCTGCACTGGTTGGAGGAGGAGGAGGAGGAAGAGCTGCTTTCCTCGCCAGACACCTTTACTTCCCATGGAGCCTGAGCCCTGCTTGCTGCCAGGAGCCAGGGCTTAAGAAGGAGCCATGAGACATGATCAAATCTTTGGATCCTGTCCCCATCCTCTGCTGTGCTGTTGGGCTGTGTGCGAGCCCCACCAAGATAGGGACTCAAGCTCTGAGGCCTCTCAGATCCCCCCAACCCACAGTGTCCCCCCAAATCAGCCCCTGGGAGAAGTGCTGTGGCCTGGCACGGCGCTGGCAGCCCCAGGAGGTGCTCTGGCCAGGGTGCAGCGCTGGAGCTCTGGGAGGTGCTTTGGGCTGCCTCGCTCTCGGCCCCTTTAAAGGGAATCTCCCTCAGCTCCGTCCTCGCCAGCTATAATTAACCCAGCCAGGCTGGGGCCCCTCTCGGCAGCTCACAGCTGAGTGCCAGCTGGAACGCAAATCCCAGACATTCACCCCAAAGGAGGCTCGGCCTTCCCATGTCAGCACTGAGCGTGCCACCCCAGCCCCATCCCACTCCCCGCACCCCAGCCCTCACCTGACACCTCGACGTATCCATCTTTGGTTTTCACCGTCAGCTCCTCAGGCTTGAAGCTGTGCACGTTGACGCACACCTTCCAGGGCTCACGGGAGGTGGGCACGGGGCTGCGGCTCTCTGGGTACCCCCCAAAGCGGGTGCTGTAGCCGGGGCCCATGGCGGAGGCGCGGGCACGCAGAGGGCCAGGCCAG